GACATGCACTCTCACTCACGGAGAAAGGATCATAATTGTTTTCCTTCACACAGATACTCTCACAAAGCCTTATAGAAATGACATTAACGGCATGCTGAAATGCAACCACATGTGGGATTTTTTTATCCTGACAATGAATTATCACTCTCTGCAGCAGGAAGAAGACAATTTGCCTCCAGGTACTGGTGAAAGCCTTTAGGGAACCTTTAATAAAAGTCTTTAGAGAACCTTGAATGGCTACCTACAGCAGAGAGGATTTCCGGCTCGCTTCATCGGAAAGATTGATCTCTCTAGGTGTGTGCAGACATAGTCTAAAGCTATGCAGACCTCATTTTTCGTACCTCAGCAAGTGCTGTGCCTTCAAGAAATGTAAAATGATAGTTCCAAACTCAGCAATTGGTCTCACACCTCATGCTATAATACCTCAGCTCTATCTTTTGCCTTCCACCTGTATTACGTGTCATTTCAAACTGTGAGTTGTGGAAGATTTGACAATGAGCATTGCTGGCAAGTCTCTCTGTCTGTGTGGTTGGGACTGCTTTGGTTGAGTTGTTTCACCTGGTCTCCACTGGCTCCGTGGGTTTTTTTCTACCCCCACAAAATTCAGCAAAATAAAGTGTTTGTGGCAAGTGGGGGGTTGCCAAAGTGGCAGATTAGCATAAATTATAAAAATAGCAAATAACACTGCTGACAAAACAGTGCGTCCTGAAAATATATTCCCTTTACGGGCAGGAGAGTGGTTTTATTTATGGGAGAAGGAGTAGGGTTTTTTTTTCTGGCAGCAGATGATTTGGTTTCTTTTTTTTCTACTTACAAAGCAGTTTTCAGCATTGCAGACATGCATTTTACATTACTCAAAAGGGATGCTGATAGCTTGTCTCTGAAGTTTGAAATAATCAATGCTTTTAAAATCAGTAGTCTTCTTTCTGGCCCACATGGAAGCTTTGACTGCTTCATGCAGGTGACTGCATTTTCAACTCAAACTTCATTTTGCAAGCTCAAGTTTTACCCAAGCTCCTCACTGCTCTGGACCTGTCATGCTGAGCTATGAGGAACAACGAAGACTATCATATCTACGTGCATGAGTGTGCAGGTGAGGTTGCGGTGTGTCTGTGTGATGTATAAGTCTCCCAGCTTGAGATGGTTTCAAATCTTCCACCTGCTGGCTGTCAGTCCAGAGGCTCAACACCACTTCGGTAGGTAGAAACAATTGCTTCTGTGGGGCAGATATCACAGAAGCACCTGCATGGGGCGAGGGATGCCAATCTCTTCTTCATGTCTCTGTTCTCTGCAGTACTTTTTGCTTCTAAGACAGGATGAAGCCACCAGAAGCAGGCAGGATAACTAGTTAGGAAGTGTGAGACTGAGACTGAATGTGATAATGATGGACACAGACTAGCAGACTTCCAGAAAGCTTCATTGTGTCAGGTTCTCCTCACCTGGAGCTCCTATGGCCATTGAGAACAGTGTCTGTCACAGTTCTTCTACTTCAGCGTCTTGATTTGCTTTTTCTTCCAAGGCAGGATTTAATACGGACACCAAGGCCATGGTGTAGGATTTGAAAGTCTGTAACACGCTGGATATTGTCCACGCGTGGTAAAGTTCTTCCGGTCCCCTGTGATAGTGTTGCATCACATGATTATTTAGCCATGTTGTCCTTTCAAATTAAAGAATTAATTGTACAGAAAATAATAGGATGAAGGTTTTAATGCGATTCAAGATGAAGTTGTCCTGATGTCAAACAGTTTGTTACTAGAAACTGTGACATGTGAGTAGGTTGTATTAAATAATCTATACAGATTCTCTCTGCTTGTGTGTGAACTACTACAAATGGATGAATAATATTTATGTGGATGCGCTCAAAACTGGTTGATATGGCACTAAGTGGAAGCACAGTCATTCTTTTTTGTGTTATCTTAAAAAAACCCCTCAAACTGTTGATACAAGTTTCCTTTCCCTATTGTTTTGTTTTGCCATGAGAAGAACTTGATAGATAATTTCTTACCTGATGCACCCCCCCAGGGCCATGATACGCTGATGCTCTAAGGTCCATACTTTCAACTGGTTTATGTATGTTTGATTTCTTAATGGAATTTATTAGGTTATTTTCTGCTTATAAAGTCTTGCATTAAACGGAATTTGATTGCTTGAGAATTGGCATTTTCTTGGTACAGTGGTGAAACAGTTTGCTAGTGGTGTTTTATAGGGCATACAGTTACACTGATTTTTTGTTTTAAATTTCAAATTGAGAGTGATTCAGTTGCTGCATTTGATTATGAAATTTATATGCAATAATTTTTTTAATTGGTAGTTAGAAATTAATACATATACATACATTGACAACCATTTTTTAGATTGAATTTAGTGGGAAATTTGGGGTAATGGTAGTGTGGATCTGGTGTTTTAAGAAACTGATGACCTCCCTTTAGACATGATAGAGTAGCAAATCTCAGAGGCTGTGTCTTGCCCAAGGAGTGATGTTCTCCATGGAGCACTCCAGCCCTCATCTTCCTGCCATTCCTTCTGAGGAACCTCCAAGGAGAGCCATTTCTCCCGCACTGTTCAGGCACCCACATTTCCTTCTGTTGAGCATACTCCAAGACTGGAGATGCCACGTCTCATCCTGATGTGGAACCAACATCCGATCTGGCTAAGCACTTGTCCCCAGGGATTTGACAACATAGATATGGATCAGCTAACGCAAGAGTCTGATGCACCCCCCAGGGCCATGATATGCTGATGCTCTAAGGTCCATACTTTCAACTGGTTTATGTATGTTTGATTTCTTAATGGAATTTACAGTGAGGACAGTAATGCTTTACAAAGCCTTTTTTATCCTATTAGCTCCCCTGGTGCAGGTACGGTGGGGTCAACAACGTGCTCCCCAAAATGTTGTTCATGGATGCACCAGTATTACTCTCTGTTCAAAGGGTACTCTCCTTGTCTGTTTTTTTATTGGAAAAGATGATGCACAAGCTTTATTTTAAAAAGCCTTCCTGAAAAAGTACCTTGTCAATTTTTCCTGGTTTTATATGCATTCTAGTTAAGGTAAGCAAAAGCAAATGCAGTAATTCTGAATGGAAGGAGTTACATAGCATAGTTTTGACAGATCAGTTTATTGTCCCATATTGTTTTCTCCGCTATCAAAGTTCTCATAAGTGGTGCCATATGCATATTTTGAGGTGGTACGGAAAACAAGTAAACTTTGATTTTTCCTCTGATCTCATTGCTTCCCTATTTTAGATGGCTTTATTTGACTACATAAAAATTGCATTAAAAATTAGTCAGATAGATAGGCTTTGGGGCTTTATTTCCATTAGACAGTTTTGCTTTGAATAAATCAACAGATTAAGGCAACTGTTCTGTATTTCAGGTTGCTTCCATGGTTAAGTATGCTTTATGGTTGGTTTGAAAGATATTTTAATTTGATCTTTTAAGCCTCTCTAGGCTATTTTCTGTAGAATCATTCTGTGAAGAAAGGGTTAATACTTCTATGTGCATTTACATCTAGGGTTTTGCTCTGTTGAAGAGCCTAGTGGGTAGATGTAAAGCTCATGAAAGAATCATGACAAGACACTATACATAAAGCAGACATAATGCTGTAGAAGCACAGCATCTCTTAAGGAACAGCTATGGCCTTGACTTTAAAATCATTACATGACTTTTTAGCCTCAGTGCCTATATCCCCTTGATGAAAGTAAAATGGAATGTGCTTTCTCTAATGGGCACTTGACTATCTGTAGTGCTCCTGAAATGTGTGTGTAACTACTCAATGAAATGGTTATTGACAAATCAGGTTAGATCAGCATAAATAGTGATACTGTCACCACTGTATACCCATCATAACATCATAAGGGTTGAAAGCTTTCTCCTGGTGGAAGCATCCATAAACCATATTATTTCCTAGAATTCTCACAGGATCACAGAATGGTTGAGGTTGGCAGAGACCTCTGAAGGTCATCTTTTCCAGCTCCCCTGCTCAAGCAGGGCCACCTGGAGCCCTGGACTATGTCCAGGTGGCTTTTGAGTATCTCCAAGGATGAAGACTCCACAATTTCTCCGGGCAACCTGTGCCAGTCACCCTCACAGTAAAAAAGTGTTTGCTGAATGTCCAGAGGGCACCTCCTCTGATTTGGTTTGTGCCCACTGCCTCTGGTCCTGTCACTGGGCACCACTGGAAAGAGCCTGCCTTAATTTTCTTTACACTCTCCCTTCAGATGTTTGTACACATTGACGAGATCCCCCTAAGCCTTCTCTTCTCAAGGCTGAGCAGTCCCAGCTCTCTCAGTCTTTCCTCATAGGAGAGATGCTCCAGTCCTGTAGTTATCATAGTGGCCCTTCACTGGACTCTCTCCAGTAACTCCATGTCTTGTTCTTGGAAGCCCAGAACTGGACCCAGCACTTGAGATGAGCCTGAGTAGAGGAGAAGGATCACCTCCCTCAACCTGCTGGCAATACTTTGTCTACCACAGCCCAGGATACCATTTGTCATCTTTGTGCAAGGGCACGTTGCTGGCTCGCATTCAACTTGGTGTCCACCAGGACCCCCATGCCCTTTGCTACAGAGCTGCTTTCCAGGTAGTCAGCCCCCAGCCCGTGCCAGTGCAGGAGGTTGTTCCTCCCCAGGTGCAGGACTTTGCATTTGCCTTTGATGAGCTTTGTGAGATTCCCGTCAGCCCATTTCTCCAGGGGTCCCTCTGGATGGCACAACTTTCTGGCATATCAGCCGCTCCTCCCAGCCAGTCCTGGTAATTTCTGAAGAGATGAGCCACAATCTGATGGCTTCAGTTCTCTTTATGGTTTCTGTTGTTACAGACGAGGATATCTAGGTTGTGGAATTCCTTTGTTGATGAACAAATGAGTTTTGCTAATCAGCTAAGTTGCTTAAAGGAAAGAGACTGCTTTCCTCTCAAGATAATGTGCCAAAGGACAATAACATTTTCAGCCTGTAATCACTTCTAATCGATTCTGTGTCTTGCTTTTATTTTGTCATCTCTTAGGATGCAGGAAGTCAACAAATAGGCTTTTTGCTTGGAAGCTGTGGAGTTACTGTGGCCTTGACTAGCGATGCATGCCATAAAGGACTGCCTAAGAGCCCCACAGGGGAGATACCACAGTTTAAAGGTAAGCCAACCCTTGCTTATCGTGGATATCACAGGCCATTTACCACAACAGTCATGGCACTTGTTTAGTTGTAGTGGGTGAAGATCAGGCCCACGATGAAACACGTGCCACAAGAGCAGCCATGGCTGCTGGGACGCGATTGCCCGGGCTGTGTGTCACTGCCTGGTAGAGATCGCTGCTCCCACCTCATGGCTGCCGAGCAGCGCGAGTGCTCCTGTTCTGGTTCTCCGCAGGCTCCGGGCTGATGAGATCGTCTGTGGCCACAAATGAAATTAAACCAACAGACTGAGGGCTGTAGAGATGAGAAGCATTCGTACAATTCAGTCCTATAGCTAAGTGGTAGGGACAGTCACCTCTGACAGGAGAGTGGTAATAAACTCTTTGGGTCTGTCACAGCTTAAACTGCCCAACCTTTTCTTCAGGGATTGTCTGGGAAAGCCATGATAGCCATGTTAAGAAAGAAATTCTGGGAAATCTTCTTTCTCATGCTATGCTGAGGTTTAAAAGAAGTGTTTAGGTAATGGTGACACAGGCATTTGGGGGGAAAAAAAACCAGAACTCTGGCAGAGAAGAGTTTTGTCTTGTCTTACCTGGCAGAAACTCGACAAAAGCTGACTTTTCTTTGTACCTCAGGCTGGCCAAAGCTGCTGTGGTTTGTCACGGAGTCTAAACACCTCTCCAAGCCACCTCGTGACTGGTTCCCACACATCAAGGATGCAAACAATGACACAGCTTACATTGAGGTGAGTTAATGAAGATGCATCTTCTCCTCGAACCGTTGCATATGGCACTTGTGGATTAGGTAAACATCGTTATTCATTCACTAGTCACAGAAGCAAAGAACATCCTGTTTTAGCCTGTTAATAAGTAATATTTTCTAATAAATTATACTGGGCATTGATTTCAGAAAAGTTAATGAAATGTTAAATTGCATTTTGGGGGTTTCTAATGTTAATGTTTTTATGTCATCTACGTGGCTGCCACAATCTTATATTAAACTGGCCTTGACCAGTCTCAGTCTCGTTCATAGTGTGGGCTTGCCCACTAGTCTTGAGATGGATAGATGTCAAGTTTCACAGTGAAGCATCACAACCTTCAGATCCTTTGAAAGAGAAGGAAATTCTTGCTCAAATGCTTGCCTATCACTTAACTGCTTTGTGAGTCACACTCCCCAAAAAAAACAGCATCAGGAAGGGAAAATTGGCAATGCTGTTAAGTTTAATTTTTCTCTTTTTTTTTTTTTTCCATTCTTTTTTCCCACTTTTGCATAGACTCATATGCCTCGAATTCAGTGATGTTAGTATTGAGTTTAAATGATTATTCACAGTGAGTAAGTTCAAGTGAATGGAGAGAAGGTATTTCCTATCTTCATGCAGTCAGAACACTGGGCTAGAGAAGTGGAGATGCCTCCATTTTCAATCTTGCTGATTATCTTCATCATGGAGAAAGATAAATGTTTAATTTATTTTAATTGCCACTGATAGTTTTCAGACTCTTGCATAAAGTTACAAAAATTACTGCAATCATCAGCAGTGATCTCCCACCTTTTTTTATGCTGCTTTCTCATGACTCTTTCATATTCTTCTGATCAAGAGCTTGTGTCTTTCAGACTGTATACGTACAGATTGTTATAACAGCACCCAGCAAGGATTCTATGGTCAGCTCTTATCCCATGTCTTATAAGACATAGAAGGCAGAAGCTCAGGTTTATTCTTTGGCCTGTAAAATCTGACGTGAACACTGAGCAGACTGAACTAGGTTATTCTCTGCTAAATCTAGCCAGTCCTTTAGTCATTAACGTGATCAGAATTCTTAGAATTATTTTTCCATAATGCTTGTATTCAAACAGCAGATGGATTTCTGATATCAAGCCTGGGAAGCTTCAGTCAAAAAGAGAAAGTCTATCTGAAAAAAGTGTATTTTAACAAAAAAATACCTCCCAAACTCCTCAATACTGCTGCCTTCTCAAAATAGAGTCATTAGATGTGTCCATCATTCACCTACATAGGAAAAACTTTAAACATAGCTATTAAATAATGGAAATAGGGCAACTATTGCACATTGACTTTCCCTGCTCATTTCTTTTTAGTACAAAACATGTAAAGATGGAAGCGTGCTTGGGGTGACCGTGACAAGGATTGCACTGCTGACACACTGCCAAGCTCTGACCCAGGCATGTGGATACACAGAAGGTATGGAGTACACTTCCCTTGCTTCATCCTTAATATCAAGTGTGAGTTGTAATTTGTTTCTCACCAGGCTCCTCTTTTATGTTTTACATCATAGATCTGTGTCAAAGGCTTCTAGCTTTAAAAACCCATTTTTTTCATTGGTTTTAGAAACTATGCACATGTTTAAAGTATCCTTTTGAGAGGTACAAATAATGTCCTAGCCAATACAAATCCTGCAGTGAAGACTTACTATGAAAGTTAAGCTTTGAGGTCATCAGTCATGTTATACTGAAGCTTCCTTCCTTTGAGTGGGTTTGCCTTGGGTCAATGCCATGTTCTAAAAAATAAATTCTGTTTTGTTTTTGTTGGACAGCTGAAACAATTGTGAATGTATTAGATTTCAAGAAGGATGTTGGTTTATGGCATGGGATTCTTACAGTAAGTGTTTTTTTTATTTTGTGTGAGTATTTGAAAATAAACTAACCTAATATGCTTATTACTATCACAAACTGTGATGTCCTACTGATTCTTCTAATAGAATTTTTTCTGCTTTGAAAGCAAAAAATATGTGACTTAAACCCATGATCTTCTGCTAGCGCACTTTTACCCATAATGAGCACAGTAAAGATGCCAGTGTATTTTTATGCATCATGTCAAGTACTCTGACCCCATTCTTACCATGTTATTCTGATCTTACTGCTATGTGATTTTGAGATCAGACTTTATAGCAAAAAACAATGAAATTAGTACTTGCCTCTGTAAGGATATGATCCAATGGCAGAGCTATATTGCCACTGACTAGCTTCTCTATCAAAACTCCCACCAACAGATGGGTTTGCTAACATTAAAGCATTTCTGATACTTTACATTCCATAAATTGTCTGCTTGCTGTTTGAACATCTTCCTCGATTGACATGGGAGCAGATTGACATTTTTTTAAGGATTGCTTCTAAAGGTGCTGCTGTAGTCAGTGACTGACAGAATACTTACTATTCATTGATCATTTTAAGAACAGATACCAAGTTTTGAAGGGTCATTGTTTAGGGGTCCCAGGATGTACAGGCCCTACATGCTATGATTCCCAGGGATCCCATATACCTTTCCCATGCAATGTTATACTGTTCTTAATATCAAAGGGCAGTAATAACGCTTCTGCAGCAGAAATGGCCTATTAGGTTTCATACCCAGAAGTATCTCGTGTTAAAAACCCCATCTTTATCACTGAAGTTGAAAGCAAGCATCTAATAGAGCTTTTCTAAGCCTTCCTTTGCTATCTTGGTATGAGCTTCATTTTTTTCATGACTTGCCTGTAAGTGCTTTTCCCGTACCTACGCTTGTGCCAGACTGAACAGAGAACTATCTTTTGCAGTTCTGCGAGTGTTTAGATGACTAATCCACTGGGACACTTAACCTTTCTTAAGCCTAGCTTTTCTAAAACAAATACTGTATTTACCTGAGCTGCTATGAGCCCTCAGAAAATGTTTCTAAACGGCAACAAGTAAAGCAGCAGCTAATTTACAGGCTCTTTGTTTGGTAGTAACACTGAGAAATCACTAAAGCAATTGACTGCCTCAGGTGGCAGATTGGTTCTGGATCTGTCATTGGTTTCACTCAGCTGCTTTTTCTAAACTTTTCATGACCTTGTTGAAAATACTGGAGTTAGCCCACCTGGAGAAGGGCTAAAAATTCCTTGATTTATTTTCTGTTAAAATAAATGGATCTCTGCTTAATCTCCAATTTCTCTGTCTACTGTCTTTTAAATAATTTGTGCCACACTACCATTACTAGTTTTTCAGTCTCCATAGAGATGGATTTCTTTAGACAGATATGTTACTGTTACTTGTCCTTTTGAGTCTTCGTATATACCGAAGTTTAGTGGGCTTAGGGATAATACTAACCTACATATAGCAAACATGCAGACATTGTTCATCCAGTGTTTTTTATTTTTTCTATTTAAAGTGAATTGCTTAGAGTACAAATACAAAAAAAATCTGTTTCTTTTTTTTTCCCTGTACTGCTTCAAAGTTATGATCTGATTACTCTAAATCCTTAATCCTTAATTAAAGCGTTAGGAAATCGGAGTCTGTTTCATCTTAATGTAGATAGCTAGATAGGAAAAGATGAATGCCAGCATTGACAATAAAACAAGCATAGAGTGATTTGCTTAGATGCCCATAACACAATATAAGTAATTACCACGATTGTTGTATAAAATCCATTTATCTTATTTGATTTCAGAGTGTAATGAACATGATGCATGTTATAAGTATTCCATACTCCTTAATGAAAGTGAATCCACTGTCATGGATACAAAAAGTCTGTCAATACAAAGGTAAGGAACTGGAATATACAGAAGTAGGCTTGATAGTCAAAATCAAAAGTACAAATTGGTAATACAGCTGTATAGCTTTTATGCGGCGTATTAGTAATCTTCCCATTGTTATTTCAGCAAAAGTTGCCTGTGTAAAATCCAGAGACATGCACTGGGCATTGGTGGCGCATCGAGATCAGAGAGACATCAACCTTTCCTCACTGCGTATGCTAATAGTGGCTGATGGCGCAAACCCATGTAAGCTGTGCTTCTGCAGTCCAATACAGAATAGGAAGTGTTTTCTGTCTTGCATTTAAACTTTTAATCTTCAGTCATCTTAGCTAAACTATTTACAAAGTATAGGGTTTGTCTACTGCAAACTATATGATATTTATGGAAACAGTAATTAATTTTGGATTTTTTTAAAATATATTTTTCTTTAGCTAATCCTGAAGCAAACTTGATATTCCACATAACGTAAGTTGCAGTAAATCCAGTTTTGTTTAACATGACAGTCGTGTATAAAGACTGAAGTAAATAACCTTAAGCTATAGAAAGGATTGGAACATTTCTTCTGAGTGGCAGCACTCAGATGCAGAAGTAGCTGAGAATTTCAGGGGAATACTGATACTACTCTAGAGAACCACATCTGGATCACTTCATGACAATTAATAGCACGAACCGTTTCTCTGTATTATTTAAGATACCAACGTATAGGTGTTCTGCTTGTTTGTAGTAGTTTGCTTTGAGCTTCTGAACTAAATCTTTAGTTTGTCTCATCCTGAAAAAGAAAACTGTAATGAGATTGATATTGTAAATCTAGCAGGAATAGCTTTTCTACGTAAGCATAGTGAAAGGACTTTATGCTCAAAAATTAGTCTTTATTCTCCGTATGCAGATGCAACTGTATGTACATATATATAGTTGTAGTAACCACGACTTCTTTCCCAGTGGACATGGGTCCTTTTAAAATTTTTTCTCCTGAGAAACCTATATATTCAATAGTAAGTTTGAAGTTTGAATAGCATCACTTCGGAAATCAGATGATTTTTCTCCTCTGATCCTTTTTTTCTTTACCCCAGGGTCTATTTCTTCCTGTGATGCATTTCTCAATGTCTTCCAAAGTAAAGGTCTAAGACAGGAGGTCATTTGTCCCTGCGCTAGTTCACCGGAAGCTCTCACTGTGGCTATTCGAAGGTACAGTGTTACACCAATGGAAGTAGACCCACTGTAGAATATATGTGGTAATTTGGAAAGAAATTAAAAATTTTAAAGTATGAGTCTGCATAGTTCACTTCTGGATGACATTTTTAGTTTTCATATTGTTTATGTCCAAAGAAGACATACAAGAAGAATTTGTAGAGTAATAATTTAACTTCAGAGTGCTTTTTAATATAGTTCCCATTTCTGTAATTTTAGCTAATTTTAAATTAAATAGACCGAAATGCAAAAGCTATTGCTGGAAAAAGAAGTGGAAAAATGCCCTAAGCATTAAGTGAATTAAAATGTGGGATTTTAATTGGAATTGCTATCGAGGAAAATCATGCTTTGAAGTAGTCTGTTTAAAGAGAATTATGACATTCTGCAGGTTGGTTTTGGCTGACTGGTGCTTTTTAACCATTCATAGACTCTCAGTAATCATCTGGAAATGCACTTTAAGTCTGAGGGATTTGTGCCTAGAACAAAAATTGATAAATTCTAATAAAACTATTAAGACTTATGTACCTGAATGTCAGTATGCAGCGGTCACCTGTCATGAGCGTCGTAGCACACAGTAAATACCGTAACTGCTGTCTGTTTTGGCAGAGTTTTCCAAAAGTTGTACCTTGAACAGTAGGCACTTTGTTTTTAAGTTCAGATTTCTACAGCCATTTATAATTGTTTCACATGTTAAAACATGCAGTATAAAAGTGTAAAGCACTCTAATAGCATTGAGTAAAATACTTCCTGCCACATGGTTTAAAATACACTGTCCAAGTGAAATTTAACTAGATTTTCAATTAGCTTTCCAATGAAACATCACAGGAAGAAAGACATGAGGCCAGGAGTGTGGTTGACTTTCAGCCACCTCATTATTTGCTTAAAACATCTGAAAGCTATCCATCAGGGACTTACCCTGCCCAGGCTAGCTGTCTTTCTGTGAACTACAGGATCTCAGAGAGCCCTTCATTCAGCTCCACCAGCCTGTTCTCAGCTTTACACCAACAAGTATGTTGTTTTTCCCTTATGATGGGTTTCCCTGCGTAGGCTGTGCAGACCTTCAGTCCCTTGGCATGAACTCGTGATTGTAAGCACAGAGAGGAGGTGGATGGGTAGCGGACGTCACTTGTGCTGAGCACTGATAAGCAGGAGAAGGTTTTCATTTCCTGTGCTGGGCCTGGAAAAATCTGTCCCAGATGGCTGGTTATGAAGTGGGAGAACTCATGGTATCTCAACGTGCGATGGCTGGCATGCCCTTTGGAGACTTAAACTCTATGCTCGTAGCCATCTGAAGCACTAGAGATTCATTTTCAAATTAACTAGCATTGAGAGCTTACATAAAAAAGAAATTATTAGCACATAAAATAGTGGATGATTTAAAAAAAAAGGCATTTTTATCTTCAATTCCTCGCTATGTAATTACACAGCAGTTCTTACTGCAGTGAATGTTACTGAACACGTATCTCCTTTTTTTGAAGTCTCTTTAATGGTAGGATAATACCAGCTGAACTTGGGAGCTTTAGTCTTTTTCATTTTATTCAAGCCATCTCCACTGACAGTAATGTCATTATCATACAAGTTCCAAAGAGTTACAGCTGAAGTATGAATTAAAATTACTCCCCGCAGAGCACAGATCCAGAGAGTTCCCTGTTAATGCTCTGACTCTTTCCAAATCTATGGTGTATTTTACTGATCTTCCTACAAGGAAGAGTAACAAAACCAGTTCTCAGTTGAAATACCCTTATAGTTTAGAAAAAGACAGTCAGTAATAGACTAATAGGTACTTTAGCCTTAGAGCCGAGTCATGAAGCCTAATATTTAAAGGCATGTCTCATGCAATTAATTCTTTATGGTATTCCGCTTTCACAGATTCACAGATTGGTAGGGGTTGGAAGGGACCTCTGGAGATCATCTAGTCCAACCCCCTGCTAAAGCAGGATCACCTAGAGCAGGTTGCACAGGATCACATCCAGGCAGGTTTTGAATCTCTCCAGAGAAGGAGACTCCACAGCCTCTCTGGGCAGCCTGTTCCAGTGCTCGGTCACCCTCAGAGTAAAGGTGTTTTTCCTCATATTGAGATGGAACTTCCCGTGTTCCAGGTTATGCCCATTTCCCCTTGTCCTGTCGCTGGGCACCACTGAAAAGAGTCTGGCCCCATCCTCTTGACACCCGCCCTTTAGATATTTATAAGCCGTAATAAGATCCCCTCTCAGTCTCTCTCCCCTCCAGCCTAAACAGCCCCAGCTAAACAGCCCCAGCTTTGATTTATTGCATACTACTCTGAACCCACTTGCTTAAGGGAGTGCAAAAGTTTAAGAACAGGCCTTTTCCATTTAAATGACTGGAAAAAAACGAGGTAAAATAGATCGTATCTGTAAATGGTAATAGTAACTGCTCTCAAAATGCTCAACAGCTACTCAGTATGAACAAATCAGTTTTGAAGTAGATGCACATTGTCCCTCTTCCATGGTTAAGGAAACTAAAGGGAAGGGTTGGTCTGGTGGCTTAAGCTACATTTACTTAGTATATAAAGTAGGTGGAATTATACCTTTGTTACGTTGCTCCTACCTTAAAAGATTCATCTTTGTCTAGCAAGCAGTCTTACAGAATTCAAAAATCAGTATTAGAAATAATGTGTAAAGAAAATTAAAAATGTGAACTTTCAAATAAATTGTAAGTACATTGCAATGGAGTTAGTTATATCTCATCGTCTTTCCAAGTGATTTCTCTCCTTCTGCTTGGCAGAGACACTTGTTTTAGGGTTGTTCCCATGTGGATCTCATGCACAGGACAAAATAAGATACCATATATTGCAAGATTGTTCCTGACAAGGTACTTTCTAAGAGGATGTATAGGTGCTGTCAGGTGCTTTGCTCCCACCTCACTCCTCCATCCTGCTCCTCTGTGTTCCCTTTTGGTGTCAGACAGCTAGTTGCCGACAAGAGGAGACTCAGGCACGATTAACTCCTGTCTCATTCAAGTATCCACCTCAGACTCCCAGGATACAAGAAGTACTCTGAAACAGCAGCTCTGAAACGCCCATCCTGTGGACCACAGGTCCTCGGCACTGACTCTCCTTCTGCCCACCTGCTTCCATTGCACGATGCTTCTCGCTAACCCGGGCAAACCTGTTAGCTGAGCCTGGGTCACAGCAAGCATGGCTCTATTGACAAGTAGAGCCTCCCCAACACGAGCCTCGTGCCTCCAGCCTCCCTCCCTGGCACCCCTGTCCTGTACCCAGCCAGAGACTTTAAAAGCTGCACCCGCTCTCCTTTTTAGCAGTCTTTGCATGTGATAAGTAACGCAAGAAAACGTGAGTGAGGAAAGTCTAGATAGCCTCTACTCCTAGAAGGTTGTGAGAAGCTACGTGTGCCTGCAGGAGACCTTTCTTCTCATGAGCAGTGAAATGTGTGTTTTGGGGAGCAAGGGTGAGAGGAAGTTGATCAATAATGTCGCTGAAAGTTCCTTTTACATGATGGGAATGTTATTTATCACAGCTGCTTGTTTACTAGCACCATTTGTTATGCTCTAATGCGTTTTCAAGCGTGCCCACATTCTTCTTTGTTGACAATGTCACTTGAGAAATATGCCTCGTAAAACCTATTAATTGAAATTTATAGTTCCGATCACTGCAAGGCTCACATGAGCATGATTGGCTAAGGCCCATGTAGTATTTCAAGCACAGTAGAGGAGAAATGTCATATAAAAGGACATTAGCTGTTAAAAAATAGCTGTGTTATGATGAACTATTTAGGAAAAATGCAGAATCTTGAACTAAATATTGGCTGTTTTATCCATCTTGAAAATAGCTGGAGTCTGGCTGCTCTATATGGATGCATTATGCACACTCAAATCAGCATCACGTTAGCTTCTGGTTTTGCATTTTAAAATGCAGAACAGTGTAAGAATCTTTCCAGACAGGAAAGACCCTGACATATTCCCTTGACTTAATAACTTGCATACGCCAACATTCGTTTGCTCAAGCCACACTCTACATACGTATAACTGTATCCACTGATACAGCAGGCGGTTTTATGTTGAAACAAGTTGACAGACAGCTTGTGCTGATGCTGTGGAATTGTACAGCATGTCGGCAGTGAATCGGAGCAAACTGAGGCGTTGCAAAGAGGCTACATCCACACCATTTTGACCATCACTGATGAAGGTGTAATTTGTTTTAATTTTCATGGGGTAAATTAGAATAGGAAGAATTCAATTATATGCACTAAAATAAAGATGGTAAAGTCCTTGCAGCTTCCACAGGTAGTTGGTAGGTAATCTACTACAACCTAATTTCTTCTGTTTAGTAATTTTAAATGCTTAAGTTTTGGGAGTGGGAGGTCATATCTGTGATTTAAGCACAGCATACTTGTATTCTAATCTTGGCTTTCATACCAGTGTGCTAGAGCTAGGCTTTTAGTCTGGCAGGTGAGCTTGGTTTCCTAGGTTGCCTCAGAGGAGGAAACATATCAAGTTATTTACTCATCAGTTCCAAATCTTCTGAGTGCAGTTTCCCTCCACGTCGTCTACACTGCCTTTCAGTATTTTTAAAACCAGGCAGAAGGCCTTTACTTGGGTAATCAAACAATCTCTATAAATCTATCTGAAAGGTAAATGCAAGCTGGTTTGGGTAAATGTTAGGTGTTACTTCCATCTCTGCAGCCCCATATATGTAGGTGGCTACTGAATGGGAGAGTTGGCTGACATCCTTGTTCAGAAATGACTGAAAACGAGGATTCTATCCGGTCTAGTAGGGGGGAAAAAAAGGTGAAATTCTAAACTCTGAAATAGAGGATCATTTGCAATAGTAGTCCATGAAGAATAAGTAAATGCTTATGTCTGCGTGATGTATTAACCCATGGTTGCAGGCCAACGGATGACAGCAATCAGCCACCAGGCAGAGGAGTTCTGTCCATGCATGGTCTCACTTATGGAGTGATTCGAGTGGACTCTGAAGAAAAGCTTTCTGTTCTGACTGTCCAGGATGTTGGCTTAGTGATGCCAGGAGGTAAGGAACGTGCTATGATGCATCAATTTAAGTAAGTAGCTCTAGAAAGTAATAGGTGGGCATACTTTGCTGTTAGACATGAAGCTTTGGGATTAGGACATGTGTACTTGGAAACATTTTGGTCGAAAAGCATTACCTTGTAAAACTTTGTGGTTTGGAAATCCCAAGATTTCTTCTCTCCGTTTACCTCAGTGGCTGTCTTTCTTTACTCGCATTAGCGGTGTGCTTTAACTAACCTGTCACCACATCAGAACATCCATTCCTTAACTGTGAAATACTGGTGCAGAAAATAAGAAAGTTGGATTCTGATGTCTGGAGGCTATAAATATCCATAAGCCTGACCCAGATGAGACTCAGTAGTGAAAGTTTTCATAACCTATGCTGAGGATCAACAAAATTGCTATCTGAAGGCCTGCAGAATGTTTTTCCAAAGATCTTGTGCTATCACGCAGTTATTAGAAAGAGGAGGTATGACTGAACAGTTCATATTGATAAATTCAAACTGAAACCAGTGCTTCTACAGAAGATAAGACTTTTCATAAGAGAGCTAGATTTTAAATGAGATGTTAAAGAGCCTAGAAAAGGATAACACTGTAGTTTTTCATAAGAGAATGTCTGTTATGCACCAAAGGAATAAAACATAATGATGCATCTTACAAAATTTCATTTGAACAACTTAAAATAAAGGAAGATAAGATTGGTTGTTGTCTAATACTTATCATATAAGATACGATTATAGATGTGCCATCTTACACTTCAGACTACATTCTGATAGTTTTAATAAACATATACATTCCTGTTTACCCTCAGAGTGAGAGAAAGGTCATTCAAGATTCTTTACACTTGTGCTTAAAAGACGTGCTGATTTATTTCTGGTCTCCCTTGTTCATCATACCCTCTTTCCAACTGCAAAATCTACACATGCTGGACTCCAACTCCAGGGATTATAGTTAAAGCAGCATACCTGATTATTATTCACACAGCTGACACATAAAATAGTGCTTCTTCCTCAGACCAGTGCTTTCTAATCCTTCCCATTTAGCTCCTGCTGTCCCTGCAGTCCTGTAAGACCGGGGAGAGGGAGTCTGAGCTCTGATAAATTCTTAGCAAAACAACTGTACTAGTCTGCTAGAATATCTTGATCTTTCATATGGTGTTACTCGCTACTTTGTGAGAGGTGGACTTCCTGGTTGCCTGCCTCCCTGGCAGTATAATTATTATCGAGAACTCCATTAGGGTATTTCATTTTGCACTGAGTGCGGCAAATCCGGTCTTCAGTATGCAAAACTGGGAACACAGTCACATTTCACAGCAATATTACAGATCAACTGAAATTTTAGAGAGCAAGGCAAATTAGGTTTTGTTATCAGTGTAAAGACTGAGTTTACATAAAGATCTTTGCATTCTTCATATAAATATTATTTATAATATAAATAACATTTGATAATGTTGAACACCTTAATGTTTGAGAAACCAATTGTTAGACATTAGTCTACATATAATTTCTTTGTTTATGTCAACTGCACCATGATGTCTTTCCCACAGCATTTATGTTATTCTGTAGTTAGTTTTATGATATTTTTTAAAGAAGTCCTTTGCTCTCCCTCTAGCTATAATGTGTTCAGTGAAGCCAGATGGAATTCCTCAGCTCTGTAAAACAGATGAAATAGGAGAACTTTGTGTATGTGCTATTGCAACGGGTACATCATATTATGGACTCTCGGGCATGACCAAAAATACTTTTGAGGTAAGCTGACCAAAAAATGCTATATAAAATCCTTCCTTTTTAACTTTTTCTATTTTGAGATAATATTTGACATAAAATATTGATAGTAATAATATCAGAATAGCAGTAATAATCAATGCTTGTGGCTTGGGACCTGTACTCTAGCCAGATAATCTGCACTGAACCCCATTTCATTAAATGCAATAGTAGATCTTTTTGTGGGTTTAGTTTTGGCTCTGAAGAGCTTTTACTTTCATTTTGAAAGAAGATACCAGGGGCTGAAACAATCAGGAAGAGAGACAAAGTTCAAAAGGTAATGCTGTACAAGTCTATGAGCTAGCTACATGCAGAATTTGATTGTTGCAAATAGTATGAAGGCTGCTGGGTATCTTTAAAAAGCAGTTTACAACATTTTCACAAGGCAGCCAGCATTAAAGGCTTGCATTTATACAGAATCTTGACAGATGTAGTCTTCAAGAGGTATCTGAATAGCAAAGATAGCATTTCCTAGTTAATCCCCACCTACTTTTGTAGTTAAGCGTGTTCTTAGGAGCCCTGTCCAAGTGGGCCTCTTTTCTGTTTTATGGTGTAATTCATGTTGCAGGCATTAGAGTCGAAGAGTTTTGTGTTCCTGAAGTGAGTTATTGCTGAGGATGTATAAGCATTAAATCTGTTCAATAAGAGTCACCCATGGGCATCTGGCAGCAGAATTTGACCTTTCTTTTTAGATGAGCCTTGAAGGACACTATATAGCCATGGTCTTCCACTTGCCATTGTCTTAAATAACTTGTCGTTAGACTATTTCAGTTTAAAGAAGTGCTGGCAGGAAAATGTGGTTGTGTCAGAACGCAGCTCAAAGAAGCTCACGTGCCAGAAGGATAGCGCTGTGCTAGTTAGGGTAGAAAAAGTGCTAGGAATCTGTCCTGTGGAAGTCATGTTTGTGTCTGGTGTTCAAACATTTACAGACGCTCTGTGTAGGGCCGCATTGTCACTTTTAGACATTGTACAGAAGGCATTGTCACTGGTATTGTGAGGACTTAATTGACCTTAGATAAAAATATGGTCAGCTGCAAGAGCCATTAATGTACAGTACCTTAAAATAGCTTCACTTCTAGCCTGCTTATTTCTCCATACTGTGCTAGAAATGAGCATGAGATGCTGAAAAGAACCTCTACCGTAATATTTACAATTTAGTCTCTCAGTAACTTATACATAGCACCTCAGGTTAGCTGCACTCTGCACAGCGGGGTTTTTTTATTCAATATTGTTTATGTTGACTTATATATTTTTTTAGGTCATAAATGATTTACAGAGCCACGGTTAGGGAAAATATGTGTGGTAAACAAAGCGGGGTTGAACTTGCTGGAATTCAGGTACTGAAAATTCTACACACTAGTCTAGGAGTTTCCTGACATTCCCTTTGTGGTCAGTGAAGAGTGAAGAGCATCACCAGCGACCTATTTACTTCATTCCAGAAGAGCTATCTGAGAAAGCATGCATGAAATATTTCACAGCATGATCTCTGTGTATAGAATTGAAGACCTGTGTTTCTCTGTCTTGCAGGTGTTTCCTATGACCAGTTCTGGTGGCCCTATCACTGAATATCCTTTTATAAGGACCGGACTACTAGGCTTTATAGGACCGGGTGGACTTGTCTTTGTTATCGGCAAAATGGATGGTTTGATGGTTGTCAGTGGAAGAAGACACAATGCTGATGACATTGTAGCAACAGCACTGGCCGTGGAACCAATGAAATTTGTCTACAGGGGAAGGTTTGATCCTTTCTTTTCTTATATTATGTAGAAATCCTTATTTTGCTTATACCAGATGTTAGTGACCCAAAATGTTTCCAGAAGGCAGTGCCTAATCTGCACTGTGGTTTCCCTCCATTGCTGTTCATATTGTTGGAACCACAGACAGCAGAAGGAAGACTAAGACAGTGTTGAGGCAGACTTTAGATACCAAGGTCTGAAACTGTGATTATTAAAATTTCCAGTTGAACAGCTGACTAATTCTGAAGATGCTGACTCAACAGGATCCTTTCTGTCTGAGTTGAACATCTCCAGTATGCCTAACACTGAAGTTCTTGAACATGGCAGTGGTTCCTTGTGTGACCTTCCTAATGTGCTGAAGCTGAGCAGGAGGCACCTAAAAGAACCTAATGCAGTAACATGCGCTCACACTTGATCACATGGCAGACGTCTCACAAAATGATGTTGCAATTACTTTCTTCTAAGATGGGGCAAAAGAAGGTGCTTATGCTGGCTGTTACATAACAGCTTGACAACCACCTTGGTGTGACCCAAATTTAGAGCTTTTCTCACCCCAAGAAGGTTCACTTCTCCAACCCTGCTATGACCTTATGCCTGTATTTACACGACTCTAGAACAAAGACCCCTATTTCTCCTCCAGAAGTTATCCAAAACTATTCTTGTTGCTTTTTCCCCATAAATAAAATACTAATTGATGCACCAATTGTCTGAGTAATAAATGACAAAATCCTAGTTATGGAATCTTAACTTAGAAGACAGGATTTTCCCTCTGTCCTGGCACTAAACACTCTTCTCTCCTTCTCTTCTATAGAATAGCAGTGTTTTCCGTGAGTGTGCTGCATGATGAAAGGATAGTTATTGTTGCTGAGCAAAGGCCAGATTCCACAGAGGAAGACAGTTTTCAATGGATGAGTAGAGTTCTCCAGGTAATGCTTTTTATGTATGTTTGGAAGCTATTTTCCCCTGCTTTATATTCTTTTTATTGATCTTTCAGGCCCCCAAGGTAACTGACATTTGTCTTTGAGTAATTGTGAGTCCACCTTCAGTTGCATTTGCACCTAATGAGCACAAAATTAGATTCTTCTGAATGACAGTTCCTATCTGGGCCTCACATATCCAGAGAGTGTTCCTTTTCCTAATCAAAATGCTTTAACAAAACAGGGATTAATTGAAGTAAGTAAGAGCAAGGAGAAAGTAACATGTGGTTTATAAGGATATAGTTACTCATTACTTCAAAAGGGTAATGAATTAATGTATTATATACTCTTACTGTCAAAAGCTACCAAAGTCTCTTACTAAACAGTTATTGGCACTGATATGGAGTTGACCTCATCAAAAGTAGATACACATATCTGAGCTGTGTCTCCAGATACTTTTTTTTAATCTGTGGGAGAGAATTATGTGTTTCTAATGTACCATGTTGATAGCTAAAATAAACTGAGTGAAACACAGCCTTAAAATGTCGATTTCACTCCACTGAAATGAAGTGACTGATTAGCTCAGACCTAGATATCTACGGTGCAATTATCTGCACAGATGACACCTATTGCAAGGAGTCCCATTCCAACTGTCTGGTGGATCGTGCAAGACACATACCACTGTGATGAAACCCACCTTGGTGGTGTTTGACAGTTTGACCAGAAGACAGAAGCTACTGAACACTAAAAAATTCTGATCTCCTTACATATAGCAATCCAGGTTAAGGCAGTATCATTACCATACTCAAAGTTTTTTCAACTCTAATGTCCACACACAAAAAGAATCAGATAGTTTAGATAGCAGTCATCTTCCATCTCCTTCATCTCCATGGTAGAGCCACTTCTCACTCAAAAGCAATAGATTTAATGGAGATGTAGTCAAATTAAGTCTGTCTGTTGCTGCCTTGTGAAATGGTCTCAGCTCTCTCTACAACTGGTCACTTGTTACTTCCTCTTCCCTTTCCTACTTTCCTTTCTGCCCTTCCTCAAGGACTTTCCTCAGGTAAACATATTGCAAACATCTTTTTTGCTTTACCCAAGAAAAAGATCCCATTCAGTTCAGAGATGTTTTTATTCATTATTGCTTTGTACTGAATAAGAAAAGGAATCTGTCTACCGTATTCTTGAAGAAACCAAACAAATAATCTTTCATCCATCTCAAGACAGGTTTATCTGCTCTCTTGATTTAAAAGATAGCTACATTTCGTACAGCTGGAGGCATCTCATATTCACAATAGATCTAAATTATTACTGAGTAAAGCTAGAACCTCTAGAAAGCCTTTGAAGCACCTCATAGCACCTAGGGCCATTATTGTAGAAGAAAAGGCTTTTGGATTGCCCATGCTTCAGTAATTTTTATCAAGTAGCAAGCTCCTAAAGAAAAGGTTGAAACTCTGGACTTACACTTCTGTTTTGTCAGCTGAGCATTTTTGTGACTTTTGCAGATGGTCTTACACCATCGTAGCCAGTAGAATTCAGTACTGAACACTGTGGGAGTCCTGTGTCAAGTTACTCCTGCCAAAAGTCAGTCCTGTTATTCTGAGTATGATCAAGTCACAGCAGTGTCTGAGAATGATAGGCCATATATCAAAGTACACATATGTGTGGCTGCTTTCATCACCCGTGTGTGAAGTCTGCAACTCTGGCATGCGTCACTATGTGAATAAGAAGTTTCTAGTTCCACTTCAGCTGAGAGCAGAGATGGAGGACAGAAGCCAGGAACATGTGGGAAGCTTTGTGCCTCCTTCCCAATCAGAGTTTTATGACAGATGTCAGGAAGTGGTAACCAGTTGTATCTGAATCATCTGCCAGTGATGAGCAACGTAACGATACCACACTTGTGTCATGACTCTCAATGATGTGCCTGATAACAAACTCTACCAAATTGCTACTCATTTCTGTTGATATTTGTGCGACTCATCTGACACCCTACACGTGCTGCTCTGTGCCAGCCTGCCCTCACTGTCTGCTTCTGCTGCGCCTCGCTGTGTCTTTGCATCTCTTGCTGTGTTGAGCTGCATCGATTTGCAGAACCTTTTTCCAGTAGGTTGCACATATTCTGACTCTTCCTGGCCCTTCCTGCTCCTTTGCAGAGGGCTGAAGGATGGTAGAGCTGCTGTATGTACGGGACTATGTTGGACTGCATCTGTGGGTTTTAGCAGAGGCAGGGTTGGGAGGTGGTGGTCAGGTTGGGTGTAGAGCTTCTTGAGAGTGGTGGAGGAGGAGGGTGTTTAGTGATAGTGTGAGTGAAGATCCCAGGTCACCCAGCAGTTCAGTCAGATGGATCCTGGATACTCATTCATCTCCCAGGCTGCTGCAAACTGATCTGACCCTTCAGGCAGGGTTGTGGTTCCTGCACCTGGCAGACTGGATGTTAGTTTTACCAGTGCCGGCATGCTGGCAGGACTTGACAGGACTGGGCAGAGCTAGGAGATCTACTGTGGTACTGGAGAGTGTCTGCCTGCAGAATTTTGTCAGAATGAGACAGCTTGAACAACATAGCAGTCTGGACTCTCTGCAAGTTCTGGTATCTCTAATACATTTTCTCAGTGAAACAGAAGGATAAAAATTTCAGATACTCTATTCACTTCTGGCTGGACAGTCGTTTCAAAAACCAAGCCATCTCATCAACAGGCATAAATGCCAGGAGCATTACAATTGGCTAGTACTCTTCTCACTCAAAATTTTAAGGCTCAGTTCTTCAGTGCTCGTCCTTACGAAAGTCATTCCCTGCTTCAGAAATGTGCCAAACTCAAAAGTGTGAAAGGTGACAATTTTGAATGACCCATGACACCTTATCAGGCACTGTGCTGCAGAGGAGCAGCACACAAAGGAGACAGTTTGGGAGTCCCTGGGGAATTGTTATATGTAACACCCCTCATCCCATCCCAGCTGGGTATTGCTTTCCATTTACCAACTCTAGGAGCCGCACTGTTTCACGTTTAAGAGTGCTTACTTGCCTTGTAAGGGTTTTCCATCCAGCTGATGTCAGGTGAGGATCCCATGATTTATCACTTCTTTTCAGAACCTACAAATAACATTATGATTAGGAGATTATGATGGTTTTTGCCAGAAACATGAGACATTGTGTGTTGGCTGTCATACATATCTCACTATTGCTGATCCTTCAGGTAAGGTGTCTGTGGACCAGCAGCGAGGTCTTCCAATACTACCGTGAGATCTACCACTACTAAAACTGCAATGTTTGTAAAATGAGTAACTGCTTTATTATTCTGTCTTATGAAATTTTGCAATCAAATCAATAAAAAACGAAGCAAACAGAATGCAAAAGCAAAGCATTACTTAGAGTCTCTGTAGAAGTAATCAGTAGTTTATTGGTCTACACTTAAGTACATAACTATAAATGATTATTTGATTCTCAGAATAGAGATTGTATCTTCAAGGCAACAGACATACACGTTCACTTTTCTCACAGTTAAAAATTAAAATGCAAGTTAAGCAAACTATCTTTTTGAACATTTAACTACTCATTAGAGATGCTGTCTGTAATTTGTTTCTCAGTCTGCATGGATGTCTGAAGTTGTTTTTCTAACTTGCTGCAATTTTTCGTACCAATGTAAGGAAAATAACTAGTTAAAATGTGTATGGAATTAAAATCTAAATGGATGGATATTCATGTTTACCTAAATCAATTACAAAGATACTGTATGTTATAGATTTCTTGAAAGTGATGGAGTTCATTGTCAGACAATGAACATGGTTACTATACTTTTCAAAGATGCTTATTTTTCAGGTTTTCATTCAACGGATTTTTTTTCAAGTGGATAATTTCATAGTTTTCCCTTACATTGTTGTCATTTCCCTCTCCTGCCTGGCGACCTTTTACACAGTAATCAGGGAGTGAAACAGTTATTATCTTAAAAAAAAATTGAAAATTCCTAAGCTATGTACATCAGTAGATATATGGTGATATATGTGCAACCTCTGAAATTTTTCTTTGCTCTGCAAGATGGACTGGATGTTAAGTTGATAAGAATCCTTTGAACTTTAATTCTGAGAAGCGCGCAGCTTAAAATCAGTTTCACAGGAGCTGCCAGCACATCTCAGTAATAAATCTCCAGGATATGTGCTATTACTGTGTGCCTAAGAGGGATGCCTAGGTAGCATTTCTTAATAGATGTCTGTGTATTTATCACCAGGTTTTTGTTTGTTTTTTTATCCTCTGGAATGAGTGTAATAACGTCAGTGTTACATTTCCGTCCACCTGTTCCCACTGAAAAGAACCTCCTTATCACTGATATTGCTGAAGTGTCTTTCCATTGCCAGTTAATTATTAGGGTTGTTTTATTATGCAGTAATTCAGAACAACATGTGCTTATTAGAATGATGAAAAATTAGCCTTTCATTAAAATCAACTTCCTGCTTTTTTTAGGCTATTGACAGTATTCATCAAGTGGGAGTCTACTGCTTAGCACTCGTACCAGCAAACACACTTCCCAAGACGCCACTGGGAGGAATACACCTGTCAGAAACCAAGCAGCTCTTCTTGGAAGGATCACTGCATCCTTGTAATGTGCTGATGTGTCCCCACACATGCGTAACAAACCTGCCTAAACCAAGGCAAAAACAACCAGGTAAGATGAGTGAAGGCAAAGAGACCGTGACTTAATGCTGTGGCTTCGTGGTACTGTATGGAGCAAAATCAAGTAATTGTTAATGCAGGTGAGAATCAGCTTGATCAGCTGTTCCTGTTAAATATTCCAGGTGTGTTAAGGACATCATTGGTTTGGTAGGAGCTAGAAGTACCTTCACAAAGCCTGCAAGGAAAAATGCTCCAAAACCCAAGTTCAGTAAAGATTAAGACATTTTATTCACTCTACAACATACTGTGGAGACTGCACCTTGAGTTCTTTGTAAATTCCTGGTCAGTCGTGTTTAAAGAGGATGGACTGAGACTGAAACACAGAAAGATAAAATCTTGGCTTATTTGAAGGCTAAGTTTGTAAAGTAGAAATAGAGAGGAAGAGGACTGAGGACACTGAGTGTTGGAAGAGAAGCAAATACTTAAAAACGGGTCATGAATAAATTGAACCCAAGAATGAGGATAAAGGTTTTTACCTGAGTAGGGAGGTTCTGGGTTATTCTTACAGCAGGTATATTTGAGGGAAAACCCTAACTAGTTTTAAGATGGTTCTTAAGAAGTTCTGCCATGCTTCATGAAGAATATTGGATGAAATGGTACAGCAAGGCACTGACTCAAGAGACCGAGAAAGTCCTTGTAGACTGCTGAAGTCCAGACGCTAGTTACTCATGCCCAATGAACAAGCAAATTTTAGCAAATTTTTGACTTTGAATCCAATTCAGATTTTAGTACTCAGATTAATTTCAAGGATTTTGGATCTGTAGCCTCAGGCTTTAGACCTGAATACAGCTACATTAGACTAAGTGGCGTTACTTTCCACTTTGAAAACCAGCTTGGAATATGAAGTGCTTTTACCCTCTGAATCTCGAATATGGGGACTATCCCCCATGAATTAAGTGCAAGTTTGCCAAAACTGTCAGTTTGTTTCTTTTTTTAAAACCTTTGGACAAATGTTTCAGAAATCAAAACCATAATCTCAGTTTGCAGATACTGGGAATGTCAAAGGTTAACAGTGACTTCCACTAACATAACAAAAGCCATGAAGCCTTTAACTGCAGTGCTCACTTTGGTATTTCCTTGTTGCTGCTTTGCAAAGTAGTCACTGAATTAGGGTCAGTGCAGTGGAGATACTTATAGATATCTGTATACATTATGTATCACTGTGGTAAAAGCAATGCCAGGAACACAGAAACCAAACTGATAGCATCACATTTTCCCATTTTGCATAGTTGTGACATACCCAGAGGATATTACTTTCATCTTTTTTAAAGCATAGTCTGTAGATGTTGTTTGTTGTACGTTACCTGGTTACTTACACATCTTGTGTTTTGACACTTATACCACATACCATCACAGAGACAAAGCTTGGACATCATAGACTAGAAGTAAAGCCTGGTATCATTTGCAGTTGATCAGTAATCCATGCTGGAGGAGCGGAAAACAAAAGTTAACATGAGTATAAATGGTATCTGAGAGACAGGTATTTTTCCCTAATGGCAGCAAAAAACCATCAGTGAAATCCACTTCATGGAGAAGTGTCAGCCATGACATCTTCCTTTCTTCTAAAGTTAAATTATTTTTCTTCAGTCTCTACCTTGTGCTAAAGGGCTTGCATATATTTTATCATCTGCACCACCTGCCTTCCTGCGCCTTGTCACTTCATGTCTATAGCATTACAGAATTGCTAGCAGAGATGCAGCTTAGCCCAGGGAACAGAAGAAATAGGAACATTGTCCCTGAAGCCTGGATACATCTCATCTGGTTTTAGGCACTTGAATGGACATGCCTGAATTAGGAACTGAGTTTTCCAAAGATTCCTGATATCATGTGGCTGTAGAGAGCCCATGCTAAATGGGCTCCTCACTTAGATATGTTTAGAGAGGATGAATCCAGGGCTATGTGTCTGCCAGCTACTTCTGGTCCATCAACCAAAGATGTGCTCAAGGTTTGGTGTTGTGGATAGCAATGAGGAAAATACCATGTAATGCAAAAAAAATAAAAAGAATTTTCATCCAGAAGCGAAAGATTTTTATTGCACTTAGCGCATTCTGCTTTATTCTAGAAATTGGCCCTGCCTCTGTGATGGTGGGGAACTTGGTCTCTGGAAAAAGAATTGCACAGGCCAGTGGTAGAGATTTGGGGCAAATAGAAGATAATGACCAAGCCAGAAAGGTAAGCTAAACTTTTCTGATATGGCTTATATATAGCTAGTTAGCATCAGGACACTTAGCAGTACATAGATTGTATTATTATTAATGCAAAATTTGTTGATGGCTTTTTTTAATTCATACTAAAATATTTCAGAACCCTTTTACAGATAAATATAAAATAGATGTGAAGAGGGATTGCTGCATTTCATTAGTATGGAATTCATTTTTTTAAATAATTTTACATGGAACAACAGAACAAACATATATGATGGAAAGTGTTCATGGGGCTTCTACCAGAAATCACTCTCTATTATATCTTTTTTACTAGTTCAAATGGAGTCCAGGGAATTTTGTTTGTGTGTATGGTCCTGACCTTATTTGTTGTTATTTTGATCCTGTAAAATTAAGTTGAAATTCAGCTCTTCTGGGGACTTATGTGAGTAATTAAATTAGAAAGTTCTAAGCTGTATAAATATTTCTGTATTTATAGTAAGAAAAAGAAACAAAGCTAAAAAATTGTGCTTAAATTCAGAGCGATCAGTAAGAACTGTTTTATTGCTTTGAAAGTATATGTAGTAATATATCATAATCCCAGCAGTGGCTTCACTTGCAGAGAGGCTGCTGCTACCATGCAAAAGCACTTTACTATAAATATGTGTGATGACAAGAGAATTAATTCATGTTTAGTGCTTCTGGGTATTGATGTAAAATGTAGCATATAAATAAGAAAGACATAGCTAAACTAGTAAAAATAGTTATCTGGGTTTTAAAGCCAAAAAGTTTAGTGTCTTGTCTCTTGCTCTGCTTTATTTTAGTTCCTCTTCCTCTCAGAAGTGTTGCAGTGGAGAGCTCAGACCACTCCCGACCATGTGCTTTACACTCTACTCAACTGCAGGGTAAGAAGCTCAGACCATTACTCTGGCGGGCAGCGGTATGGAAAATGGCACACCGGTATTTCAGCTGCACCTGGTTGTGCTGTGGCTGAACGCGACCTTTCTGTTTCTTTTCCCATTACTGCTCAGTTATACTTAATGTTCACTGAGGCAGAAAGGAAAAGAGAATAATCATTGCCAGTTGTCAAAATACAGATTGCTTTTGTATCAGACAGCACGCCTTAACACATTTCTCATTTCTTTTTCCACCACATGTATGTTGTGGGTGAGCTGACACTGCAAATTTATTTCAATACTGATCGTTTCTATACTGAGGAGTAGTATTTAATACTGCTCACCATCCTGATTTCCAATTTGAAAAGCACAGGCTTGGCAAAATCAAAGCATTTTCCCTAAATAAAACAACAATTGTTGGTTTTGAGACTGCACCATCTGGGCAAGGTATGAGAATGGGGAAAGGAGGTGAAGAGAAGAGGAGGGTATGTCCAGAGTCCAACCAGGTCTGCAGAGGATCACTAATAAATCTCACATGAGGTGCCAGCCTGGCACAGCATTTAATTGCTTATCAAAAATGAAATAATGCATGTCATGTAGTGCAGAACTTGGCTTTATTATGAGTGGGTGATTACAGACTTCCTAGATGATTGTAGATGACAAACCAATAATTCCCAAGACCACTGTAGAGAGTGAAAGTCTGATTTCAAATCATCCCACCACAGTACATCTAGACACATCTGTCAAAACTGGGAAACAGTGTCTGAGGGTCTCTGGGTGAGGAGGGGCCTGGAATAGTGCTCTTCCCCTGGGCCATCTGGAGTAGCTGGTGGTGTCTGAGCCCGTGTGGTCCTGACACAACTTGGATAGGTTCTTAAACCTCCAGTGATTTGTGAACCTCTGTGAAATGACCATGTACTGTATTTACAGGATACACTTCCCCAGCCCATATTACAGTGCCGGTACCAAAGTTCAGTTTGAGGCTACCAATAAGTCAGTAAATGACCTTTTTAAAATTCAGATTAATAGCTAATATTATGTGAACACGTGCAACTTGACAGATAATAGTGAAATAGTAATGAGTTGTCTGTGACAAAGTAGAAAACTTCAGAGGCAGTGCTGTTTATAGATCCGATATTACACCATTAAAATAGTGCATTGTTCTGTCCTGTAAATGAGGAGCATGGATGCTGTGAGAAGGAGACAGTGATATGTACTGTCCCATCTCCTCCACACAGGCTGTTGCTTTTGAGCTTTAAATAAAGCCAGACTTCCCATGCTGGCAGAAGGTTCAAACAGTGGGAGGGAAGGACACAATGTGCAAAACAAGGATTAACGAAGTAATTTATCATTCCATAGAAGTGAAAAATAGTTGAATTTTGAAATTCAGTTTCTCCATTTCTCTCAGCGTGGAGTATCTTATCATACGAAATTTGAGAGAGGGAATCCTTTATGGAGAGATTGAATGTTTTCTGGAAAGGAGGGACAGGTTTGGTGGGGTTTAGCCCAGGCAAGTTTTATTACCCATCTTGAATTTTAGTTCTGGTTTGTAACTTTTCCCTTTTTGTCTTCCTTGCACATTGTACACTTTGTTCTAAAACATCCCGGCGTCTTACAGTGGATGACTGATAAAAATCCACTGAGATTCGTGCTTTCCTGTAACCCAAGCTTTTTGAGCATTTGCAATATTTAAAAATTAGCGCAGTGCATTGTTTTTAGTGTGTGTCATGAAGGATTGCAAAACCTTTACATTGCAGGATACCTTGTATAAAAGACCCAAAGGGAATAGTTGCCTGGTGCTTGCCAATGATTCTTGTCCAACAACAGGATTCTCCTTTCCTGCACTTCATATAAACACCACCTTTCCACTGGTTTATGTGCAACAAGTGCCAGAAGTCTTTAATGTAAACAACTTTTGTGCAAATTTATGATTTGCAGCAATTCCCTTTATGTGTCAGTGGGGCCTGTGCTTCTATTGTATGTGGGGATATAAAGGGTCCTTCTTCCCGTGACTACGCAAACAGGCAAATTCTTGAAAGAAGGAACAAAGAGTTGAAGCACATTCCTACTGGCAGGTCTACAGTGACAATGACACCCACACCTCAGGTCACTTTGGCCGTATTTAGGGCTGGACAGATGGAAGCCTTCTTTAGACCAGCATCCATATAGTTGCATATGTCTTTAGAGGGAGCTTTCATAGTGAAATTATCTCCACATTGTTCAGAAGACTGATTAAAATTGCCTGAAGTGCATTTCAGTAAGTGTGGTTGCTGAAGATGGTGAAGAGGAATGCTAAGTCCTGACTTTGTCCATTTTATTTTCAGTTCAGTTGTCCTCTTCTTTAGCAGTTTATAATAAAGTTTGTAAATGCCAGGTGATGCCTGGTGACATACCACTACTTCCAGTGCTAGACCTTTACCAAACTGCTCTCTCCTCTGAAGCTTGTGGTAAATATATACTGTGGTGCTGTGGGGGATGCTGATAGTGGATAGAAACCAGCAATCAGACTAAATGCTTATTATTCCATGCCTTGTGAAAATAGAGTGTAAAGAATATTTCTTTAAAACAGTAGACCTTGCTTTCTCTCTTAATAAGGATAGTGATACAATATTTGTGATAGCATTGCATTGCATTTTTCATACATTGGTCTTTTTAAGTGTGTGTGTGTATATATATGTATATATTCTTAACTGGTTTTCCCACAATCTTTTCAGGCTCCCTATTTTTAAATGAAGTTAGTGCTTGTGATAGGTGCCAGGTATATCATAGCCATACTGGAGACTGAAATCCTCTTTTTCCACGGAACGGGTGCAGAAACAGAGGTGCAGCCCTTCCCATACTGCCCTGTCCCTTTATCTCATCCCAGACCTGGCCAGACCAGATCTAGCCACAGTCAGTCTGTCCTGCACGTTCATTTTTAGACTTCTCTTCTGAGGTGTCAGCTGTGGTAGTGAATTTTATGTATATATTTCTTTAAATGTGTATTTGTGTGTGTGCATATATACACACATACATATACTTAGGAAATGCAAGAACCATAACACACATCCAGTTTAAAACACTGTATCTGTTTGATAATTTTGGGTTAGCGCTATTTGAAGTGCTTCAAAAAGCCAAACTCTGTAGCATATTGTCACTTCGCCTTCTTTTTTCATGCTGACCAGAGTTACTCAAATTCGACAAATGCCCACCTTTATTTCATTTATATGCATGTGCTTAGCTTTTGTTCCAGACTAATTCTTTTCCCCGTCGCAAAGTATTGTTTTCTTCTGTGTCTTTTGTCTCTTGTCTTTTAAAGTATTTCTGCTGTGCCATTTGGCTTCACTCCAGCGTGCAGACAATGAAGTGCAATTTTCAGGATTGCTGTCCACAGATTCTCCAGATTGCTGCAGAGACCATAGAGG